ATATATACTCAGCGTCTCAATCCTCTCACCTGTAAACTGGGACAACCATGAGAGAGTCACCCAATTGGAAATTTCAGTGGCTCAAGGTAACCTCCCCAAATTGTGCACCCACAGGTTTGGTTTTCCTTCATGTACAGGCTATGAGTTAATGCACACTGGAAAAATAGACAGAAAGGTGCTCACTCTGCCCAATCAGATCCTGTTTTAAAACAGAGACACCTACAGGTCAAAGAACTAAACATCCTCTAATCTAGCTATGGCCTAGCCTAGTTTCCCCTGCAGTGTACACAATAACCCATTCTTTCTATTCTGGTCTCAATGGAGATGCTGTGTTCCACACAAATACCTTTCCTATAACTGCAGTGGACAGTTTTAAAAGCGTATGGTACTACAAACTTTTAATCAAGAATTGAAGAGGTCGAATCAGGAGGACAGCAGGGTCAATGCCCTACGGGCCTCAAGGCAAAGAAAGTCAACAAACCTTGTCTCAAAATAATTTCCCAAAAGCTGGAAGGTGCAGCTGTTCTGGAAAGAATGTGTCATTACAATGAGAAATCATGCCACACACTTGGAGAATTAACTGATAAAATCTCTTCAGTAATTTCAAATCTCCCAGTCTGGCTGACACTCTGAGAAGAATAGGTGCGGGACAGATTTGCCAACTTATAGACACCATAGGTTTATGTTTTCCACATATGTTGTGAACCTTGAGAAAGGCTTGCTTAGTTTGATTTCTTAATGAACTCAGAAACACCTACCCAGGGTCGCCCCACCCACAGTGGGATGGGCCCTATTATATCAACCACTAATCAAGAAAATACCCTATAGGTTTGCCTACAGGTCAGTCTGACTCTAGCTTGTGGCAAGCTGACCAAATCTACCCAGAATCCCTACTGAGTGATGACTCACAAACCACAAACTCCAAACACAGATTTTTAAGCAAACCTCAACTCTTGACACCGGCTTTTCAGCGTGTACTTGTGCATGCACACATACACACAAAGTTTTGGAAATCTGTCAAGTTTACAACTGGAGTAATGGCTCAGCAGTTACCACCATGGTTGCTCTTGTAGAAGTCCTGGATTTGGTTCCCAACACTCACATGGTGCACACAATCATCCCTAGATGCTGTTGCAGGGGATATGATGCCTCCTTCTGTCTTCTGTGGACACCAAACACACACGGTGAACATATGCAAACAAATCACTCATACACATGAAATAAAATAAAATTAAAAACACATACTCTCATATCTCTTATAAGTCATCACAGATAAACAAGTCAGAAATGCAGAGAAATGTGACAAATATCTGTAGCCAAAACTATACCTATGTAATTAAAGAAATCAAGAAACTGGATCGGAAATTCCATGATTGTAAACTGGAAGCCTAAATATTATTTCAGCACAGAATCTGAGCTATAGACTCAGCAAAACTCCAATAAAGTCTAACAATCTTCCTATCAACAACAGAAAAATGATGGATAAAGTCATCATGAATTAAACTCTGGTCAACACAAGACGGAGTAATAGCACACAGTGACACCATCTGACTTTAAAACTTCCCGTACAACTGCAATGAAGATTGTTCTGTCTGGGAAAGAATAAACAACTCAGCGGAACATAAGAGAAAATTTAAGAACAAAGTAACAATTAAAAGTGTCGATCTGAACACAAGAGGCCAGGAAACCCAGTAGGTCTGGTCTTACTGACACACATGACTGGTCCACCCTGGCATCTCCGTGCAGATGTGTTCATGGCACAGACTTTACGCCCTGCACAAAACTAACTGCAGTCGGATCCGACACCTCAATGTTCAGTGCCAAGTGCAGAACTTCTAGAAGACGCTAGAGAAAGTAGCTCTGTCGCTTAGCAAATCTGCCTTTCAAGGCGATGATGAAAGTGGCGCAGACGCGCACGCTGCATGGTGACGTCACAATAAGGAACTGTCCAAGCACAGTACCCACATCCCCGTGTTCTTTGCAGCCTCAACCTCAATCCGCAGACGAAAGTTATTTAGAGGCCACAGGACCTGGGAGCTGCAGGAGTAGAACAGATCTCACGGATCTCATGGATCTCACGGATTTCACCCGGCGCCGCGTCCGCCGCCGGTTCCCACAGTCCCGGGACCCCACACCGGCTCCCGCAGCTCCTCCCTGCGTGGGGACGGCGGCCCTCGCTCACCATGGTGGATTCCGAGCTCGCCTCGCTCTCCTCACGGCTCCCGGCAGAGGATCACAGCACAGCACAAAGAACACCGGAGTCTTCCTGAGCCCAGAGCCGGAGAGTCTCTATCATGACGGACCGGAAGTGCCCGCCCTCATTCTGCCTGGCAGTCTGCCTGGAGGTCATCATTGGCTAATGTGGCCTGAGTGACAGGATCAGCTCTCTCAGGCACAGGGTGTTGCGAAGGAACACAGCACAGTGGTTCTCAGCCCTGGCTTCCATCCCAGGCACAATACTGTCCGGGACCTGCAGATACTGGCGTTGCAGCAGAACTTGAGCTTGAACTGCAAAATCATCCCTGCACTTTTTCTACACTTAGTAAGCGTTTTTCATTCTTACTCCTGGGTCCGCGGTGTTAGGTCTCAAACCTAGGATAAAAGGCTGAAGTGCCTATTAAACTGACAGGTTCGGCCTGCCTCCCTCTGTCCCTACCTCATACAGGGTATGGCTGCCATGCCCCGCCCCCTACCCTGAACTTCTCCAGGCCAGGGGTTGAGCTACCCTTCCCTATATAACCCAACCATTCTGATTACCCGGTTTTTGTTTTGCTCTGTTTTGTTTTGCTTTTCTTCTTTCAATCTACCCTTTACCTTCCTGACCTCTTGGTCTGCGTCTCCCCTCTCCTCGACCTCCTCACATGGTTCAGACTCATGTCCACTCTGGACTCTCCCAGATGTCCCTGTCTCTCTCTATACCCTCCGTTTTATCAACAGCAAACTTTCTCCTCTACCAGACCTAGGATCAGGCCTTTCCTTTTTTAGTTTAGTTTGTTTGTTTGTTTGTTTTTATTCATTCTGGTGGCTAAACCTGGGACCAGTCATGTCCTTCCTTTCTATTTTTTTTTCCATTCACAGAATCTTTAGCATTGCTTAACGCTAAACAGGGGAATAGTAGAGTGATTCCCCTGTCTGACAGCTGAGATGATGCCCAGCACATGCGTGTCAATTTAGACCATCTATTGACATTCACTAGGCGTCAGCAATTTCAATAAGGCTCACCTAGGATTACTTACATTTCTCTCAGATGCACATTGTTACCCAAACATGAACACTCCCAGACTTTTTGGTGGCAATAGTGTTTCATGGGAAGGTCGAGGCAGAACATCAAAACTTTAAATCAGCTCAATTTATCACAGAGAGAGAGAGAGAGAGAGAGAGAGAGAGAGAGAGAGAGAGAGAGAGAGAGAGAGGGAGAATTGGAAACTGAAGAGGAGATGACCAGGGAGGTATCAGTAGATCGTGCATAAGATGATGGCTCATGCTAAGATACTTTATTAAGAAGTACAAATCTGATGCCCCATGTGTAGGGGGAGAGTGGGACAAGCAGCAGAAAGTTAGTTAAGTTATACTGTCAAGTGGAATATGTAGACAGAAGTTTCTGTCCTGCCCTGTCCCACAGTCCTTCCCAAAGAAACACACAGAGGCTTATATAACTTATAAACTATTTGGCCTATTAGCTCAGGCTTATTATTAACTAGTTTTTACAACTAAATTAACCCATAATTCTTGCTTATATTAAGCCACGTGGCTTGGTACCTTTTCTCAGTGAGGCATTTTTACCTTAGGTGCTCTGCATCTGGCTGGTGACTGCGTCTCTGTCGCTCCTCTTCACAGATTTCTCTTAGTCTGGTCGCCCCATCTATACTTCTGGCCTGGCTACTGGCCAGTCAGCATTTTATTAAACCAATGTGAGTGACAAATCTTTACAATGTACAAAAGCATTATCCTATAGCAGGAATAGAGAATATGTCCGACAGAGCTCACAAAGAGCATCACATTGATATCAACAGCCTCTCAAGCTGAAGTGCACGATTCCCTTGACTCCTTCAAGATGCTCGCTCAGGTACTGGAGCCGACCTAGTCAAGTCAGCCCTTGGCAAAGGACAAAGAACCACTGTTCCCTTGGAGTTTTCATCAGGGCATCTGAAAAAGCCTTGGGTTGGTAGGCCTGGCTCCCAGAAGGCCCATATCCAATCTAAATAAACAAAAGCATGTGTGAAAATGGAACCACAGGGATTAATGCATTGAAAGATGGGCTTGGAACGACTAGTAGAGGTTGGAGATGAAAAGGACATAGCAGGGAATAAGAAAGTATTAATGATGTAT